GAGGGGGGGAGGGAAGCGGGGGGGACAGGGGAAATTTTAATAAACAAGCTCCATATTGATATGTTAGAAGGTCCTTAAAACTCTTTATTAAAATTTTTCCTAAATTGTATTCTAAATTTTGAGAAAAACAGAAGCGTCACTTTACATAATAAAGAATCAACAAACTTACCGATGATCGGCAGCCCAGCACAATGCTGCTTGAACTTGGGTAACAAATCGATCCAAAAAACTACTAATTGAAGGATGCCTTGAAGGAAGTTGAAATTTTAAAGAATTTTTCTCTTTCTCCAGTTCTTCCAGTTTCCGTCTAAATTTATCAGCTAGAAACCAAATTAAATTAAAAAAAAAAAAAGTTACATAATGGTGACAAAAAGGTTCCATTTTACCTGAAGGAGAAAAAAAAGGTCAATCAACAAAAAGGAAAATCTACCTTACAGATGGTTCTTCCCCTTTTGATAAAATATATCGGTCTGTTTTGCTCAAGGATGAATTACTAAGACTACAATGGAAAACATCAGATAACCAGCATGTCAAGCTACTTTCTTCTATGACAAGGACAAAACTGCAGGCTTCCCAGCACTTTCAGAGTTCTAATTTGGTAAGGCTCCAAATAATTGGCTCAAAGTTATCATCTGTGCTCTTTTCCTACAGTAACAGCTCTGAATTAAATTCTAAGAAAACTCCTACTCTTCACTGCTCCAGTTTTAAAACAATCTTAGACATCAGTTACACATTTAAAGGCTGAGTTTTTTTAAAAAATTGCATTATTATTAGGTCAAGAACTGAAAAATCACATATGATATATCTCAGCAAAATACTTCAGCAGAAAATGCATGTACAATTATAACAATTAAACAATTATCTTATTCCAGGATCTCCTGAATTATGCTTACTTTATCATTAAAAAAAAATACCTTCAACTTTAAATAAAAATAACAGTGGTCCTTAAGAGAGTGCTTTGATTCTACCAGAACTCTATAAATTTCTTAAACACTTCTCTAAGTGTTAGTTCTTAATTTGTTTTCTTTCCCTGTGTAGAAAACAAAGGAACATAGTTCCAATTACAAATTATTTCTGGTTATGTATATTCTCTATAGTGCCAGTATACTAGCAAAATTACATACATGACAGATAACAAGCCTGGCTGGTCCAAGCCAGAATGCCTTTGATGATACATTGGTCAAATCGGAGAGTTTTTTAGCTAGCCCACAAATGGACAAATTTCTACAGTTCATTACTTTACTCATGACCTCGCTGCCTACAATTTTGCGTGATTAGCATTCCTTCCCTTCTAATACTTTCAATACAACATATCAGAATGACATCCATCTGTGCATGCTTTTTACTGCTTATTTTCTTTCTTTATCCTCAAAGGGGTTTTAAGAAGAGGGTTTTTTTACATTTGCTGGTTTAGTACAATGATCTATTTTTACAATAACCTATCGTTAGTATTGATTTCCCTTCTGCTTCTGTGCCAACAGCGCGGAATAAAGACATAGAATGCAGTAATGAGACTAGATCTTCTCACTAGGCCAGCAGACCATTCTAGGGTACTTAAATTCGTTTTGTTGTTGTTATTATTAGGGTGCATACTCTGTCAGGAGGCTTTAGCTGAAATGATCACCACCCAAGTTACTGGCAGGGTCCAGGCCTTGCCCCTATAACAACATGTACACATGTGTATACTCTTCGTGCAAAGGAGAAACACCATTTTAGCAGTGGAGGTGAACCACATCTGCAATGCATTTCTCAGGGACCGCAGCTGAACAGATTCATTCTATTCCTGTCACCACAAGGAAACTGGAATTTGAGCCCAGATGAAACTTTCAAGACCATACTTTGACCAGAGGAAAACTTAGCAGCATTCCCATTTTGTGTGGAATTTCAAACACAGCCATCAAAAACTTCACTGCTACAAACAGAAAAGTAAGGGTTGGATTGTGACCGATGGCCACTGAACACCAAAACACATGGAACCACCTCCTTTTACGCAAACCATACATCACTGGGCTTCCTGCACTACACAAGCAGGAGTTGTGGCAACCCTCTACAGCCATTCATTGTCACTGTCATTGTTCTTCAACATAATTATGCTCATACTGCGTTTGTACGTCCAATTGTTTCATTCTTCTAGTCGTACCCATCCTGGCCCTAGAAACAGGCTATTTTGGGAAGTAAAACAGATGAGGGGATCCACATGCCAATTCATTCTCTCTCTCATTAATTCTTGGCTGCATCCTGCTTTATATATTCCACTACACAGAATTCAATTAGTTTATACTAATAGATGTTTCTAAATAATTTGTTTCACTGGCATTCCATAAGTACTATTGCTGGCCATATCTGCTCGTCATCTCAGCACTAAATGACTGATTCTCCTTTCAGCACTGTGGTTAGGGGTTACACCTCAAGAGACTCCAACACCACTGAGCCGAATACTGCAGCACTTGGCTTTTAAGCTCCTCTCCTGGAAAGGTCACCCCTCAGTTTGACCTGGCTGATGTCTTCAGTGCATGGAGAGACCAAGGCACATCAGCTCCAGCTGCAGAGCAAGGAGCCATACAAATAAAGCTCATTTCAGTCCAGCTTTCAGCACTGCAGCTCAAGAGAGATCTGGATCAAACAGAACTCGTGAAAATGATAAGAAATCTAGCAAACAGGACATGTGATAAAGAGGGCAATAAGCAGGGTTCCTCAGTCTAGTGGAGACAAAGACTGAGGGGATTAACTTCCAGATATATTCCATACCAGGAAGCTGCAAAGCAAGCCATGAATACAATGCTTTTCACCTCTCCTCAGTAACAAACCTGAGTTGCAGCAAAGCAGATGAGGAAAAACATTAAAGATTGTAAAGCATTGAAATGAACTGCTTGGGACAGCCAGGTATTGTCCACCAATGCTGGTTTTCAGGTCAAACAGGTCTAGCATAGTTTTTAAGGTTGAGGCCAGCAAGATGAAACATGTTCTCCTGAGATCCCTTCCCATGACGTTTTCTAGTGTTTTCCAGCCAAGAAACAGACACAAAAGGATTTTGCCATTCGTAAGTCAGACTCAAGGACACTCAAGGTTTACTTTATTTTCATTTCAGTCTTTTAAGCATGATATTTCAACACATAAAATATCTTCACAGGATCCCAGAACTCACTGATGGACTGAGACACCGAAATAAACCACAGACTCATACTTCCATCATACACCAAGGCTTAATTCTTTGTTCCTCTGTCCCACACTTCACCTCAGAATAAATCCTTTAGCACACAGCTTACATGCAAAAAGCAATCCCTCCACTGGATGAAGTTCCTAAGTGAAGGAACTTTAAGATACTCAATACATACTGTTTTACAGACAAGCATTTGGAATAAGGCTTAATTCTCTTTACCAGCCTTTTACTTCACAGCCTTCTGTTGCTAGCTTGCTGCCTTGCAGTCCTACAAATACCCTAGAAGCAGCTTCTACTTCAGTGCAAACAGCAAAAGTCAGCCCTTAAATTACCCTCCACCCCAAGCTGGTACTGCCTGGTGCACTTCCCACTCAATTTAAAGCCAATAGGCCTGGAAGATGCTAACTGCTGTTCTCAATTAAACAGACAGCAGTCGGAGAACTTCACTGTCTCCAAAGCGCATGTTTTGTAATAGCTTTGAGCAAAGGAAGCAGTTCCCATATTTTTTTAAGTGACCATGTAAGAACATCTGGCTACATCTTTTTACATATTCTGGTATTTTTTTTATTCCCTTGTAGAAAAGGTTCACTTTATCAGAACTATGTATCATCATGTAAAAAACATTTAAGAAAAACATCACAGTAAGGGTAGAATCTCATTTGCTACATACTGCATACATTTACGTCTACTTCTGCTGTTCTTTGCTGACAGGTGGGAAGATGACTAATTGTGCTATTCTACAAATTAATGGACTTTAAAAAAGTGTCTCTTCATCTAGTTCAACTAGAGAAGGCCATTTCATTCTGCCCCACAATCCTGTAAACAACCCCCTCCTTCTTTCCTTCACTTCCCCGAAAAATCTGAAGGATCTAAATAAGGATTTGTGCAAGGTTTGCATGCATAAATCACATACTGCGGCTCTAAAATCTTTGCCTTACCTGCTAGACACTTCTCGAGCCAGGTAACCTCCCCAGCATTCATCATCTTAAAAATGTAAAGCTTTCAAGATTACTGAAGTGTTTTTGTAAACTCAGCATCAAAGATATTGTTACCTATTTTGTAAGAACTAAAGAAGTCCAAAGTTCAGATTCAAAGACCCCTCTAGCAGCCCGTCCCCAACCCGTAGCAGGTCTTTAGAGAAGAGACCAAGGACCAGGGTGCAAAGTGCCTTTTTACCTTGATACTGAACATCTAATGTTTGTCAGCTGAAACACTTGCCAAGCAAGACACCATTCCTAGATCACATCACTGCTTTGACAGGAAAAGGAGGGGGGAAAAAAAATATCACCAACAGGTAGACAACTATCCACCTGAAACTTCTTTTTTCTCAGGCTGTCTATGCTTTGGGTCTCCAAAATACCCTATGACAGAATTTCAAAATGAAATTATGAAATATATAAACATATACCCCATTTGGTAATTTTAAACCTAAAGTCTGATGATCTTATTGGGTATTTCCTTTTTTTTCCTTTCCTGTAAATCACAGAATTGTAGTGGTTGGAAAGATTTAAGATCACAGAGTCCAACCATAAACCCAACACTACCAATTCCACCTCTAAACCATGTCCCTAAGCACCTTGTCTACCCGTCTTTTCAATACCACCAGGGAAGGTCCCCCCCCCCCCCCCCCCCCCAGCCTGTTCCAATGCCTGACTGTCCTTTCAGTGAAGAAGTTTTCCCTGATATCCAATCTAAACCTCCCCTGGTGCAACCTGAGGCCATTTCCTCTCGTTCTATCGCTGGTTACCTGGGAGAAGAGACTGAGAACCACCTCTCTACAACTCTCTTTTCAGGCAGTTGTAGAGAGTGATAAGGTCTCCCCTCAGCCTCCTTTTCTCTAAAACAAAACATTCCTTCTTCACTTTCCCTGCACATTAATAACTTAGGCATTGTCATGTTCGAATTGCACCACTTGTTTTCCAGGACAGAGAGACTTATATTAGCTAAAGCAATGCTACAAAGGCTAGATGGTGAGGAGTCTAATGCAGAGCTTGAATATGTGACCAAAATGCATATGGAGAACAGACTAGTAAGCAAGATGCACACAGCCCTATTACTAGCATTGGCCTCCTGCAAAATTACTTGCAGGAGAACATACAGACCAATAAAAATCCAAATATGACATGTAAAGACATATACTGTGAACAGAAATGAAGGCAC